GAAAAGGTATAGATTGCAGGATTTATTTCCGGAATCAATTTAATTGATCTTCGCCGATGCCTTCTGTATAAACAGACGGGCTTGTGGATCCGAATTCAACAACACTCATATAATGGTCTTCCTTTTGGCATAAGGCAGGTTTCCATCAATCGATGTATATCGCCCCCGCAAGTCTGAGTTGCCAGGATTCGTTTGGCTCAACCGATAAGACGGAGTGATTTATTGCGGTCGCTAACTGACCTCGTGTGATTGACAACGCGCGCTCGATCCGTGTTCGACTGAGATTGCATGATATTCGTTATTCCCAACTTAGGATCGAATCGAGGACCTCACTGGTACAAATCAAGCATACCTCTCACTTAACAACCTGCATATGGTGTAACACAATCCAGTTCTTCCAACCGAGCTTCTCATCTCGCTCATATCAACTCTAGGGATTATGATCGATTGAAAGCATTCTTAATCTAATTACTAATTACATTTAAGTAGTGAAGAAATCGCTTCGATTAAATAGTGAATTCCGTGCTGTATATAGGCCAAAAAAGCGTGAACTGTACATTTGTTTCGATCTTGCTGGTTCTGATCGAAGGAGTGAATCTATCCACCTAGCTGAGAATCGAGTCCGGACCTCACAAGTAGAAAGAAATTAAACCGTTCATTTTTTCCTTGCTCTGCATGTGAGGAAATCCCTCAATAAGTTGAACTCAAATCCTACACTACCCTTTTTGAATAATCATTGTGTTGGCCTCACGCTAAACAAAGCCGGAAATATGTTTTTGCCCGTTCGGATAAGTAACCGTCTTTCCATTCTACCAATGTTTCTAACTACCTACTTACTTCCTAATTCATAGATACCATTAAAATCAGTAGAATGTGAGATACCAGTTGACATGTGAGTTGTTCTGTGATGCAAAATTAGAGAAACATAAAATGATGTGCATCAATTGATTCAATTTGGTTACATAACAAAGGATGTGTATCATCATAGCCATTAGCATCATTCGGAAAGAACTGGGAAGAACTCAGAATCCTTTAAAATCCAACCTTTAACTCTTATCCATTTTGTACGCTACCCCATATCCCAACCGGTTGCGCCCTATACCAGACCTAAAATTTCTATTCTTTCCCTCTTTTTCTATTTCTGTTTAACTGCATTACCCCCCTTTATAATTGTTGATTTTCCATTCTGACCTTGACGAGCTAGTTAAATCGAAGTCGTGTCACTCTAGTCGTGAGTGCCTATTTTTTATATATTTGATACTGCAATCATTTATAGAACCACGTTCAATATTATTACTACTGCCCAAAGCTGTTTTTCTGCCCAGACCGTGCGTCTAGACTAGATTAACAGGATCGCTGTTTACTGTTAGCTGCCGCGGTTAGACTTAGCTGATTCGCCCTACCTTACGCGTTGGTTTCCTGCTGTTATCTGTGTATTCTCCGTAGAGTCTATAAGCGCAATTCGAATTTCGTCGTACGTTATATCTATTTTCATTTCCGTAACAAAGTTGACTAGAAGACATCATGTCTACTCCTGAATACAATACACCCCCAATTTCCCGGTAATTTCCAAGCTGGAACAGGCGCAAGAGAGAATCAGACAACTGGAATTGGAGCTGACAACCATGCGTATTGCTTCCGGTTCGAACGTTGCATCACGTGAGGTTCGGTTGATGCATCAAGCGGATAAAGATGACGTGACGCCAAGCCTTTCAAGATTTAAATTTGCTCCCGACATCACACTGAAACCGGACTCTATGAAACCCTTCTGTGAAGTGGCTGTCCAATCTGAGATGGAGTATCGGCAAGGAAGCGCTGCAGGTCAGGTGCCTGGATTTCAAACCCTGGACGGATCAGCCGCCACCAGTCGATCACCGGTAGCAATTCGAGGAACCGACGGTTTTGGCAACACGCTTATTAACCTCCCTAAACGAGACCTGGTGACCTTCGAGGGAGATCCTGTCCGCTACTGGCTCTTTATGCGCTGTTTCGAGGCGAATGTTCTAAAATCTACAGCTGATCCAACAATCAGGCTCTCCTACCTGGTCCAGTACTGTTCCGGCGAGGCCAAAAGAGCTATCGAAAGCTGCCTAATACTGAATCCTGAGGAGGGATTCAACGAAGCTCTAAACATCTTGCGAAAGCGGTTCGGAAGGCCACACATGATAGCCAGGATGCACATCGATGCCCTCACGGATGGCCCCGCGATCAGATCAAACGGTTTTGCAACCCTATCGAGACTAGCTGGGGAGCTCCGCACGTGCTACACCACCTTGAAGCAATTAAATTAGGAATGAGACGTAAATACCAACTACCGGGCTTCAATTATCGTGGATAAAGTTGGCAACTCTAGACTTCGAGGTTCCTTAGCTCACGATAATTGAAGTCCCGGTAGTTGGTCTCGGTGCGAAGGAGAGAAAGGCGTTCACGATGTCGGCTGTCTCCTCGACATATGCGATTAGATCCAAAAATTGTGGCTCTCTGTTAGCCCTCATGCACCTGGCGGCGTGTTTCGCCCACGTAAACTGAGTATGGGTGGGTAGATGTCTCGCAATGGCACCAATAGTCCGAGAAGTATTTACGTCTCAT